GTTTTCTCAAAAAATAGATTTAATTTGACCTAATTTCTAAATGATTCGTAAACGATTCGTGCGAAGCAGTTCAAAGAATCAGTCTCTCTAAACCCCTCCTTTCCGTGAGCCCTCACTGCTGTGATTGGTCAGATGGCGCAGTCCTTTGTGATTGGTCCAGAGCCATAGAGAGATTGGCTCTGGATTGGTCTACCGCGTACAGCGCGTGTCGGAAACGAAACGCCCATTGCCATGACGGAATGACAGCCCTGGAGACTTGTCAATACATAGAAAATATGGTATCGATTGTACCTTACCAATTCGAGCCTGAGTCTGATGATGAAACGGTTGAACTGTCTGATTGACAAGAGACTGATTCGCAAGCACGACTGGAGCAGGATGTTTCTCAGTGGTAAGTGTCAAGTGTTAACAAGTTTGTGGTAATTATAAGATGTGATAAAACAAAGTTACTCTCACAGCATAGGATACAGCGTCTTCTCGACATGATGTTAATCACACGAAATTTTACTGTTTGTGGGCGGGCAAGTTGGCGACGTAGAACATGGGCAGACATGCAAATGTATTACTTTGTGATGTAAATCCATAACAGAATAAGATTCGAATTCCTGACGACTCGTTTAGGCGATTGCGAGCCCACTCTTTTTTTTTTGATAGACAATAACTTTATTTATCGTGCACTGTCGGCTTCACAACTTTGCAGATAGTTTATGTTCACATACAGCTACATGACATGAAAGGTAATATTCGAAAAGGCATAATAGGGACACTTTAATAATTAATGTTCACCCAAAATGAAAATTTCTTCATCCTCATGTCATACGAATGACATACTATCTTCTGAGAAATTGTACTGGTTGCTGTATTCCATGCAATGAGTCTCCCTTTAGGCTTTTAAAGGGCTACTTCACCAATGTACTCACCCACATGTTGTTCTAAACCTCTGTGACTTTCTTTCTCTTGTGGAACATAGAAGATATTTTGAGAAATTGCTCTGGGTTTTTTTTTGGGTCCGTATAATAGTTTGGCTATCAACATTCTTCAAAATAACTTCTTTTGTATTCCGCAGATGAAAGAAAGGATAGTTTGGAATAGTGTGGGTGAGTAAATGATGATAACATTTTCAGTTTTGATTATCTATTCCTTTAAGCTTCAAAAAGGACACAAAAGCATCATGAAGGTGTCCTAAAAGTGGTCTATATGACTTGTCAGCTCAAGTCACCTTTATTTATATAGCGCTTTATACAATAGAGATTGTGTCAAAGCAGATTTACAGTGTCAAATAGGAAAATAGTTTGCAAATAATGCAAGAGGACAATAACAAAAACTTTTCAATTTTCCAGTTAGTTCATTGTTGATTCAGTGATGTCATCATCCAGTTCAGCTCTCTTCCTATAGTGTTTGTGCAATCAAGCTGACAGTATTGCCAGAAATTAAGTGTCCCCAACTAAGCAAGCCAAAGGCGACAGTGGCATGGAACCAAAACTCTATCGGTGACAGAAATGGAGAAAAAACCTTGGGAGAGACCAGGCTCAGTTGGGGGGCCAGTTCTCCTCTGATGATGTGTTTTAATTCCAGGCTGCAACACAAGTTAGATTGTGCAGAGGACTTGTCTGGTTCCCATGGTGTTGTCCCGATGGCCATCTAGTTGACGAGGTCTTTGCAAGGGATTTATCTCTAGGGCTTATCTAGTTGACATGGTCTCTGCTGACATTTAGGGCTGTAGAGGTCGTCTGAGAGGTGCTGATCCACCATCTGGTCTGGAAACGGACTGGGTCCGGGTGGCTACGGTGATCTCAGAATAAGAATGAAACAGACTAATATTTGCGTAGATACCATTCTCCTTACGATGCAACAAGTTCATCGGGTGTTATGGGAAGTGTTCCCGGTTCCGATTGACCTAATTAATGCAGCCTAACAATCATTTAACGGATTTGTATTATAGAAATGTGATAGTGTATTATGTGTATGCCAGGTTAAAGAGATGGGTCTTTAATCTATATTTAAACTGACAAGAGTGTGTCTGCCTCCCGAGCAACACTAGGTAGATTGTTCCAGAGTTTGGGCGCTAAATAGGAAAAGGATCTGCCGCCCGCAGTTGATTTTGATATTCTAGGTATTATCAAATGGCAAGAGTTTTGAGATTGCAGTAGACGTGAAGGACAATAATGACAAGTATGAGCTCACTCAAGTACTGAGGAGCTAAACCATTCAGTGCTTTATAAGTAATTAGCAAGATTGTAAAACGTATACGATGTGCAATAGGGAGCCAGTTCAGAGTTGACAGAACCGGGCTAACATGGACTTACTTCCTGGTTCTTGTAAGAACTCTAGCTGCTCCATTTTGGACCAGCTGGAGTTTGTTTATTAAGCGAGCAGAACAACCACCCAATAAAGCATTACAATAATCTAACCTTGAGGTCAGGAATGCATTCACTGCTACGAATTGATGATGGTCAGGTAAGTAAGATTTGAACCATGCCAATGCAGTTCCACTAATGCCAACATAATTTTGTACTCTACTCAAAAGAATGTTGTGGTCGATAGTGTCAAACGCAGTGCTAAGATCCAGTAGCACTAATAGAGAGATGCAACCACGATGATAAGAGCAGGTCATTTGTAACTCTGATGAGAGCAGTCTCAGTACTAAGAAGGAACATAGTTGTGAGGATACTGCCTTTTTTAGTATCTTTGACAGAAAAGGGAAATTTGCGATCAGTCTGTAATTAACTAATTCTCTAGGATCAAGTTGTGGTTTTTTAATGAGCGGCCTAATAACAGCCAGTTTGAAGAATTTAGGGACATATCCTAATGGCACTGACAAATTAATAATATTCAGATTATTCTTATTCAGGATCTATGACTTCTGGAAGCAACTCTTTTAGTAGCTTAGATGGTATTGGATCTAACATACATGTTGTTGATTTTGTTGATTTGACAAGTTTATACAATTCTTCCTGTCCTATAGCAGAGAATGAGTGGAATTGTTCCTCAGGGGATCTATAGTGCACTGTCTGATGCGACACTAGCTGATGGCTGCATGGTTAGAATTTTATCTCTAATAGTATCGATCATGGAAGTAAAGAAGTTCATAAAGCCTGTTGATGCTTTATTTTTCGTTAATTTAGACACTGTATTGAATAAATCCCTTGGGTTGTGTTTTTTTTTTTTCTAAAAGAGATGAAAAGTAAGCAGATCTAACAGTTTTTAGAGCTTTTCTATAAGTAGAAGTACTTTCCCTCCATGAAATACGAAATACCTCTAGTTTTGTTTCTTCTAGCTGCTCTCCTTTTTCCGGCCTCGTTGTGTGCTCGTTATACCACGGTCTCAGTCTGTTTTCCTTAATCTTCTTTGTGTAAAGAAGCAACCGTATCCAAAGTGTTAGAAAAGAGAGAGTCCATAGTTTCTGTTACAACATCGCTCTGTTTAGTTAATGCTGCTCAATGTGAAAGCCCGCAGGTGATGGAGATTTACCGCTGATTACAGAACCGTCTTTACTGACAAGATGCGCGTTAAATATCGCATGCGATTAATCGTGCAGCCCTAATCACTCCGCTGCAGAATTTCAATGCAATTAACATCAATTCCATGTGACATTGTTAAATCTAAAGTATGAGTACGACAATGAGTAGGTCCTGACACGTGTTGTCTGACCCCAGTAGAGTTCAGAATGTCTATAAATGCTGATCCATGCATCTTTTTCATTATCAAAACATGGATAATAAAATCACCAACAATTAAGACTTTATCTGCTGCCAGCACTAACTCAGTTAGAAAATCAGCAAATTCTTTGATAAAGTCTGTATGGTGGCCTGTATACAGTAGCCAGTACAAACTAGGGGTGCAACTGTTCTCGGTAAAAAATCGAACCGTACCGTTCTCCACACACGGTTCGACATACATACACTAGGACCGCGGTTCAACTTAAATCTGACAGTGCATCTGTAATATGGTTTGTTAGAGTTTGGCTAATGCATGTTTCTGTTGATGGATACAAATTCTGGCTTCTCAATACATTACAACAAGAGCGATGAGAGAAAAAAAAACAATACGTGGACAAACCAGTCACTCTTTAATCAATGTGAGTGCTTTATGCTGGAATAACTGTCATTTATGCCGTCATCACGTGTTGATAGCGCAGGTGAGACCTGAACAGCACACGTTGCTATCTGTGTTTAAACTAAACTCATTTAAGCCTTGCCATATTGTTTAAATATTAAAGAGCCAGAAGAAGTGAACTAGCGTGCGCAGTGAGAAAATCTGTGTGGTCGCTCATCTGAAGCCGTGAACCCAGAACTCAGAACACGCGCAAATATTAAGCTCTCTGTGAATTATTGTGTTTGAATGGACAAATTCACACAAAAATTGTCAAAATGCCCATCTTGGTGAGTATCCTAGCAGACATAGTCGGCTGAACATACAGTATCAGTGCACTGGATCAGTGCGTTCTCTTAAAGTGACAGCACTTTCTTAATGTTAATCAAACAGCAACAACACAGAGATCTCTCACTGGTCTTGACTGAATAACTTTTGTAACTTTAATAAGGATTAATCTTTAATTTATACAACATTACTATGAATTGTAGCAACACCTCCCCCTTTACCTTTTGGATGTGGCTCATGTTTATAATAGTAATCTTGGGGGTAGACTCATTTAAAGTAATGTAATCATCTGGTTTTAGCCAGGTTCCTGTCAAACAGAGCACATCTAGGATATGATCTGCGATCATATCATTTACAAAAAGTGCCTTCATAGAAAGGGATCTAATATTCATTAAGCCAAGCTTTATCATTTTTTTATCTGTATTATATACTATATTTGTTGAACATCAATTAAATTGTTACCCTTAAATTGATTTGGACGTTTTTTGCATTTGCTAGTTTGGGGAACAGAAACAGTCTCTATAGTGTGATATCTAGGTGAAAGGGTCTCTATGTGCTGAGAATTAACTGATTTCTGTGACGCGAGTTGGCTAGCAGACGGTCTGTTTAGCCAGTCTGTCTGCTTCATGACCTGGGGCCAAGTTAGTCAAGTACAAACTCTAAGACTATGTGCCATATTTCTAGAGAGAAGAGCGGCACCACCACCACATCTTTAGTGATCTCCGACTGGCGAAGTCGAACATCATTAGTGCCGACGTGAATAACAATCTTACTGAATTTACGTTTGGCATTAGCCAGCACTTTTCAATTTGCCAAGATGTCAGGTGCTCTGTCTCCCGGTTAACATTGGACTATGATGGCTGGTGTCTCTATTTTCACGTTCTGCAACAATCAGCAATAACTAGGGCACTTTCATCAGGTTTCTCAGTGGGAGTGTCACTGAGTAGGGAGAACCTTTTTAATGTTTTGATCGGAACAGAAGAGCGATGTTTTGACCCGCGTCTATGCCGCCTCACAGTCACCCAATCACCCTGGTGTGGGGGCTCTGCAACTGGAAATGAACAATGTACAGGACTCGCTAAGCTAGTCGCATTCATAGCCATATCTAAGGCCCTCACTCTTACTACCCTTAATTAAGGTTTGGATGCATGTCTCTAGTTTTGAAATCTTCTCTGTCAACTATTTCCCTGCATTTATCACATGTGAATCCCTTGCCGCTGACAGAGAAGGCTACACTAAACATGTGGCAAGCAGTGCAAGTGGCAATAAAAGGAGAAGAAGCCATGACTCACTGTGATTGTTGAATGATTCCGACTTAGCACATTTGTTTGATGAACTCTTAAAAACGGAGCGATAGAGGAAAGAATCTGAGCGAGATTCTTTTTCTCTCTGAGCTGAGAGAGAAAAAGAAATGGTAGGGAACGCAAATGACAAGCTAACAGGCTAATGGAATGCTGTTTAGATTAAAAGTGAACAATGTCAAATTAGTTTGATAGATAATATCAGAAATATGGTGAGATTTAAGTTATATTTTAGCAGGTTAAACAACAGAGAGTGATGGTAAGATTCCAACAGAAAAACAAAGCTACACAGCGCTAACGTTACAATCGAAAACTACTCCGCAGCATGGCAGATAGGACTTGTGCATTATGTTCCAAGCCTTCTAAAGTCAAACAATAGCTTTGTTTGAGAAACATACCCATATGAAGTGATTTACTGATTATATTTCGTCTAGTGAGCTATTTACATCTGACCTAAACATTGACTACGTTTACATGGACATCAGTAATCTAATTATTTACCTTATTCTGAATAAGACAATATTACGATTAAGGTGTTTACATGAGTTGGTTTTAGAATATTCCTTTCATGTTCCAGTTTTACATGTTATAGTACATAGATCGATTAATGGCACACGTCCCCACGTGTTGCATCTGACGTCCCCTCTGGAATTTCACATATAAACATATAGTTCTTCTTCGTTATGATGCCATATACAGTTTTGGGTGTTTCATTTTTAATTTACTGAAAGCTTCAAGTGCAGTTAATTATTTGGCATGCTATACATGCAAACAGAGGACTGCGTTGTTGAAGCCATTCTTTTGTTTGCCGTCAATTATTCTGTCTTTTTACGCATTGCATTGCACCGCGTAAACATAAAACCATGTCTGCATTTGTGATCGGAGAAATGACACTACAAACGCTACTCTACACTGCTCAAAACTCACGTTTGAATCATCAGTGGCAAATGCACTACTGCATACATAAAAAATGTACTTACAGTCTGTGAGTCAGAACAGCCGGCATTGTAGTCTTCTCTACCAGGATCAGGAAACAGTCCTCCATAAAATACGCTGGACACATCTGAATATTTGGGTTGAACTGTTCTGGAACAGTGTTGTAAATACAACTTAACCACTGATTTCTAGTCGTGTCCTCTTTTGGAAGGCCAAACAAAGTAGTTTTGCTTTCACAACGAAACACAGCGTCACACACGGCGGCCATGAGTGAGCGGAGGCCGGCAACTAGAGTGAGCGGCAGAGTGGGGGCTTGCGGCAACCACATGTGACGACCCTGGGCTGGACTCTGCTTCGTCCATGGTGAAAGCCGATCTGGCGATCCACAGCGCCCACCACGGATCAGCTCCAGGCATGACGAAGCGGATATCGTCCTCTTTTGGAAGGCCAAACAACGTAGTTTCGCTTTCACAACGAAACACACAGCGTCTTCACGACATGGCGGCGGCAACAA